TGTGTGTGTGTGTGTGTTTGTGTGTGTGTGTGTGTGTGTGTGAGAGAGAGAGAGAGAGAGGGCACTACCTTCTTCCCCCAGCCTAATGCAACCCAATTGTGACTCGAGATTGCATACATTGGTAATGAGGGTAGGGTTAGGGGCATATGGAAAATATTTCTGCTGGTATTCAACTGCTGTCCGGTAGGGGCATACTGGAAATTTGGGACGGGTACAGGTAGGGGCAAATTGAACATATATCAGGCCCAAGCGACACCAGGGGTTTTTCGAAAACTTCCGTCGCTGTCAGAGGGGCAAATCAGGGTAAGTCAGCCGTCTGAGGGATATTTCGCAAATAAATGGAAACTCTCAGGGGCATATTGAAAATTTCCCATTTTTTTTAACAGCCCCAGGTCCTGCTAGTGACGCTGATAAAAGCAGTCGCCTCCAGCAGCCCTGTGGGTGGCTCCGTCTATTGGCGGGAAGCATCACCTGCTGGAAAGCGGGTCCAGCGTCTATTTTTTCTTTTTCTTTTTTTTCTGCTGGAAACTCAACGCTACAGAAACATTGAATGTGCTGACCCTCAAAAACCTCTATTTTTTTTATTTTTTTTTTCTGTTTTTTTAATGCTCCAATCTATTGGCCAGGAGTAGCACCTGCTGGAAACCGGGGGCCATGTCCCACTAGCAGCGTTGAGTTTCCTCAACGCCTGAATCTGGACGTGTGTGTGGGCAATGTGCACAAAGCGCGTTGAGTTTCCCCAACCGCACATCTCCACAAACGCGTCCACATTCAGGCGTTGAGGAAACTCAACGCTGCTAGAACCTAGTGGGACTTGGCCCCGGTCCAGCGTCCCCTGATACATGAGCTCGACAATGTCTGGGCCGAGGTCCCACTAGCAAAGAGGATAGGATTAACCTCCTGAATCTTGGCGCGTTTTACGCGGAGATACAGAAAGCAGCTCAATCTCGATTTCCTGCACCTCTCCACAAACACGTCCAGATTCAGACATTCGATCCGATCCTCTTTGCTAGTGGGACCACGCCCCTGGATACATTTGAAAGAAAAAAGGATAAAACTGTGTCTGAATGTCACGCCGCTGCCTATCGTACTGAAACTGAAATACTCGGTGAGAGTCATAGGAACCCCGTAGGACTATAATTAGGAGTAGTGGTAGGTAGGTAGGTAGGCCGTGTGTGAAATGGAGAGAAGAACGCAGCTTACTTGAAAAAAAAAAAAAGAAAAAAAAAGAAAAAAAAAGAAAAAAAAAAAAGAAACTCTGAGAGTCTTTTATCCTGGAGGCTGGAGCCTCTTCACCCTGCCGCTGGCTGCCGAACCGTGGCCCATGCCGGGAAGCTTGCTCGCCTGGTTCCAGGTCTTCAAAACCTCACAACCTTCATAAATTAAAAAAAAAAAAAAAACTGACAACCTCACAAGCAAGCTATGAAGCATTGTTTCTCGCTTTCGTGCTGTCCGTTTCATTTTTTTTTTATTATTATTTTTTTTTATTTTTTTTTTGGCACAAACTGGGAACGAGTTTTTGACATGCTAACTAGTAACTACCGTCTTCACCGGAACAGAACGACCGGTCATTATAGCCGTATCTGGTGCAATTTTCAGTCCAGATGCGGCTAAAATGACCGGCCGTTCTATTCGGGTGAAGTCCGCAGTGAAACATCCACAGGGTGGTCCACACTCATCCACACTCGTGTAAAGAGCTCTGCTTGCACTTCAGAGAGCTGTGAGTGTGACTGACCAATAGTTTTATCCATTTCCAGGTGTTTAGATTTGCTTACTTTCTTTACTGCCCAAGGTCAAGACACACAAGCACACATATGCAGACACGGGGGCAGAGAGAGAGAGAGAGAGAGAGAATGGACCAAAAAAAAAAAAAGAGAAAAGGGCCATACAAATAGCGTATGGCTGTAACGGCTGGACAATGATGGCTGAGAGGATTTAGTGGCGCCCAATTTTTGTAGAAACTTTAAGGATCAAAGTCAGACAGTTGTGCCTTCGATCGGACTAAAAAGATATAGAATCACTCCAGTATTTGGGAGCTTGACGGACAGCGCAATGGGATTTTGAGACTCGCATCCGGATTGATTCTTTTGCTACCTACCACTACTCCTAACTTCCTAAGTGAAAGAAAGATATGTTCCATGACATGGCAGAAGGCCAGTTAAAAAATTATGGGTGAGGTGAGGGAAAAAGTATATGGCTGTCCCCCGATGAGGAGAA